TGCTCTGTTGCATATCGACTGATTGCAATTGATAGTAAAATCGAAAAAGCAATGGTAAATTATTTATTCATTCACTTCGATTATTTAGGTAAATTTCGATCATTTCATTGAATCTTGAATCAGTTATTTACAGGACCTTGTTAAAACACATTTGATGTTTGCTGTTCGCGAGGAAGTCGAAATATTACGAACGAAAATTATTCAACTACAAAATACGGTATCTGTTCATTTTATATACCTGAGTACATTATGTATGCATGTACTTTCAGTTGCAAAACAATTCCACTATTTCGCATTTGATTGCCTAAGGCAGATAATGACGAAGGGAGAGAATCAGGTTTAGGCTTATGCTTAATGTTGGATTCGGTCAAATGCGAAACTTCCTAAAGTCGCTTGAATTGTACATTGTAACGGTTGGCATCTCGAAATGAAATTCAAAAGTTCTGCCGCAGCAAGAATGGCTCTCAAAAATTTCTCATATTATAGCACGTTGTTCAATCGAGACGGATCTTCCACCGTGTATCGTTTATTTTGAGAAATCACAATACTTTTTTGAAACTGTACGACAAATATCGCTATATCCACATTTCGTTTCGCTCAGTACAACCGATATTTTATCAATCATGCCTGATCTCTGCAATACTGACCAATGGAAGCTGACCAGTGGCCATTCAGTCTCGCTTCGTTGTAAAATTATTACACTCCCAACCGATCGTCCAAATTGTTTGAAGATATGATCATGAACGCATACCAGATAAAAACACATCAATTCTAGGTATTACAACTGGAAGCAGAGAATGCCATTCTACGAAAACATGTACCAAATGAAATAGTCAACAAACTCAGTTTGCACTCGAACGAACACCTCAATACCACTCTTCTCATCAAATGAATTTTACCAGTCACGCTTCATCTGTGCAATACTCATGTGCCATATTAAACTTAAATACATCTTTGTAAACATAAATCCATGCATATCTCTATCCATCATTCAATCTATCATATAATATTCCACTCTTATCAGTCATTTTATCAATCGGTTTGCCTGTCAAAACATATCTTCACGAAAACTGTGATAAAATTCCATCATTGTATAATAATGTTCTATAATAATGAGACTGGAGGTTAAACCATTTAGTTTCGAGCAAAACAACTCGAGACTCGAATTCTATGTAACGATCGAATGCTCAACAAACCGAACTGTGCAAAGAAAGTTATCGAATGATGTATCGAGGATACGAATTATGTCAAGCCTGAATACTAAATTGTTTTTATCTAATTGACCACTAACTCTGTACCTAATTACCCACAACAACAATAATACTTAATTCATTCTATATGTCATTAATTCCTTTCAATCGCTGCTCACAACTCATCAAAACTTCTCTTTAATCTGTTGATAACTATCTTATTGCTCAACGATTGAACGAAGCAATTGTATGATGCAATAATACGATGATGTTAACATATTTCGATGTGATCAATAATGGTGTGTTGTGATAATTATTTGAATTTGCAACTTTGTATTAGTGTTATGTGTACGTGATGATTCTCTTTCTAAATTTTTTCTCAACGCTTCTTCAAGAAAGCATTCATGGCTATCGAATTCGCAAATAAATTATCGAATTATTATCCATTATCGATTATGAAATTATCTATTTCTCGAAAAATCCTCACACTACCCTCTTGTGCATCGTAAACGANTCTCGTTCTAAATTTTTTCTCAACGCTTCTTCAAGAAAGCATTCATGGCTATCGAATTTGCAAATAAATTATCGAATTATTATCCATTATGAAATTATCTATTTCTCGAAAAATCCTCACACTACCCTCTTGTGCATCGTAAACGACGGGACTAGAGTTGGGTAGGTGACCACCGAGAGTGCGGTGGGAGTTCTCGACCGATTCCTGGGGACGCCCGAAATCCAACGGCTACCGATTTTCGCTGTCCCCGATTGAACTGCAAGGGCTTGTTCCGTCAGGGGACTCCGCAAACCGGACTGCGATTATTACTGACCGACAATCGACGGATGCTCAAAACTTGCCTGGTGCCACGACCGAAACCGAAAACGCCATTTTGATGGTTAGTGAGTATCTTTATCTCGTTGGGCCTAAACAAAAGACACTCTAAACGTAAGTATTTCACAATACGTTGGCTGACATATTATTTCGTGAGCAGTGAGGGCTGACTGAAAGAAATTACTGGCTGGTGAAGTTGTTTTGGTATGGGGCAAAGCCTTTCTAATGGTGTTTTCCACTTGAGTAAGCGAGAAATGTACGTTATGAAACCTGTACGACGAAAGTTTTGGTGTTACTGAAAAAAGGAACTTGTCAGCTTTGATCTGCTCGAGTCACGACGATAGCAACTGCGACTCAACCTCTGTGTGAGCTAGTCATCATGAGTATACGGTAATGCGAACATCCACAGTGATGCCACTGGAACGAACGCACCATTTCGGACTAGCGATTTTTCCAAGAATCACGCTGCAATCGGCCGGGAGTAATTAATTAGTTCCACCTCCGTTAATCAGTTTGTGGGAATGGTTCTTTATATGGGCTTCTGCTTAAGCGCTTTCGGCATCTGAAGGCTCGGGTCGTTCATTTGACACATCGCTGTTCGCATCAGACAAGACTTGGTTCGACCAAAATCCATTCCGTTTGTGCTTTATCGACTACTCGAAATCATTTGCACTGCAAAGTGATTTGTTCCAGGAAAATAATGAACACGATTGTAAGATTAATTCGTTTACGACCATCATATTCAGTGTTTGCTGGACGAGGAGTGTTATATGATCGTAACGTTAGTGCCCCCGATATGAGTTATTCGGCTAAATATCTATCAACTAATAATACTACGAAAGATATCGGTATTGATTCGCGTCGTTCAAGCGATGATGCTGTTTGTAACAAGGAAGGTGTTGAAGGAATCCTGGAAAATATTGATGGTGTTAGCATGAAACATGTCAACTTCGATGAAACTTCATCAGCACCGGTATGTTCACATCACCTCTTGTATGTACAAATTACCATCCATTCTAATTTATCGAATATCTGTCATTACTCTCTATTCATGCTAACAATAAGCACTGTGAGATTCAGGAACAGAAGCAGTCGTCATTCGCAAATCTTTTACGACATTCAAAATTCATGCAGTTAGGTGATTTTGATGGTTGCATCGTGGTCGGTAAGGTGGTTAATCAAGTAGCGAATGATATTTATATCGACTTCGGACTTAAATTCAACGCTGTTTGCAAAATATTACCATCACTTCAAAATGAGTTTGTCATTCATTCGTTACTTGTTATTTTTATTTTGAATGTGCAAGATGTTATTCGTATTAGTTCTAAAAATTATCATCTTTATTGATCTGTTACATTCGCTTATAGTTGCGTTATCGTATGCTCATATGTTTGTTTCAAAGTAATTTTTTCTGATTGTTTTACAGGAAGTTTGTGATTGGATCAAATGTCTTGATAAGGTTACATAATCCAGAATTGTCTCAGCAGTTCCTTGGTTCAACTCGTGATTTGACCCTTTTAGAAGCAGATGCAACATTAATTCGACTGTACAATTGATATTAGGATGCTTCTGTTATATATCGTCATGACAGTGCAGCACCGATAGTATTTGTATATATTGTGCTAATGAGTTTTAAACCGAATAGTCACTCGTAAAATTCAGCTATTAGTTTTTCTTTGGTTTTATCGGCGATACATTTAAATTCAAGTGCTGAAATTTTACTGTTGAATTGTTTGATCGATTGGTTGATGAATGTTGCTTTCAATCGTTTCTGTCGTTCAGTCTTTTTTATCGTGTATAAATATTTTTCCTCATTTAGTTGCAATTTTTTAAATCTCATTCATTCATATTGATAATGCAGCCGTGACTGTCAGTTTTTTAAATTTAATCAGCAATTATAATTCATCGTTTCGAGTTCACGCCTTTTTCATTACTAGTATTATTGCAAATATCACTGTATTCTTCATTATTCGGCATTGTTCCTTCCACGCAATTAATGTAATGAGTGAAGCAAATCGTCTGTTTTCATTGATTTTACCTCTAGTTATGATCAAATGCTCACAGTGGCCATTCTTCATACCCATTCCATCCGGTGATCTCTCGGAAAACATGACTATTGCAAAGTATATATATATACAAATACGTGAAAATGTGCACTTATTGATGTTGAACGGGTGTGCATATGTTGTTATAGTTGTTGTTGGGTGTGTTGTAAAGGCAGCATCGATAGGCGGTTGTTAGTGGATGGATGTATGAGTGGTTGTGTGTTTGCGTTTAAATTTCGCAGTGTTGTAGTTGTATTGTGTTGATTGTAATAAACAGTAGTATTTATTAGTGCACGTATTTGCTTCTATCAGTTGTTTTTGTGCAAAATGCGACAGCTTATCGATTGCTGTAATAGCTGCTGACTTGTTGAAGTTTTTCGAGTGATACATAGACAAAATGCGTTCGTTATGCAGTCTACTTCGCACGTTTATGCTACATATTCATGCACATGCTCCTCCTCGTATAAAAGAATATGAAAAGTACTGCATATAGACGACTTGATCAGTTGTTGTGTTCGGTTGCTTTGCTAGCTGCACTAGAGCACCGCGTATTTCTATTGATCGGTATGGTCAAGTTTTCTTTTATATTTACTCGTATCATTAATGTCACATCTAACGGATTATTTCACCGCTCGTATACCATTTGTGTTCAGTTGCATATATTACTTAAAGCCTTTAACAACGATCACTCCTCTTCGTTTTCCTTTCGACTAGTATTCCCATGCGGAGTTGTAGGTGCGGCAGGTTCTACTTCACTTGTTAACTGCATACAATTCGATTTGACATCGCATACTCTTGCGGACGCAATGCCCACGTGCATTTTTCAGTTTAGGATTGGAACTAGCAGTCCTTTAGCTTCAAACAACTCGTCAGATGGTAGATACGTGTATAGATGCATAGTTCATTTGGAAAATGTTATGTAAATTTGAGTGGATTAAATCAATCTGAAATGATTTCCAACAGCCTGTTGCTGCTGTTGTTCGATAACTGAGTGGTGCGTCGTGAATAATTGACGTTGTTCCGTTCATTATGCTGTATACTTTTGTGCATTGTAAATATTATTAGGATGATCTAACGGAACATTGCGAATAAATACCGGTAATAATGTTGGAAGTAATCCACAAAATAAGATATTTAGGCTGAACTGGTTGATTAGAAGAAGTCTATCAAGAGGAATGACACTGTCAAAGTTATCAATTGATAAAGTTAATCTTAAAGATAAACGCGTTCTTATTCGTGTTGATTTCAACGTTCCTCTTAAGGATGGCAAAATCACTAATAATCAACGTATTGCTGCAGCTATCCCTACGATTAAGGTTCATTGTTCAAATTACTGCTGTCATTATTATCGTTTTTATTATTATTATTTGTTAAATAATTAATTTATACGAGTGATAATGAATAAATTCAGTATGCGTTAGACCACGATGCCAAATCAGTTGTATTAATGTCTCACTTGGGGCGTCCAGATGGACGTAAGCAGGAACAGTTTAGCTTGCGTCCTGTTGTTCCTGAACTTAAAACATTGCTCGGAAAGTGAGTTGATTTTAACTTTTTATTGTAACAATAAATAATTGTGTGAATATTATAATTGATTAATTGGAGAGATGTTCAATTTGTGGATGATTGTGTGGGTGCAGATGTAGAGAAGATAACGGCGAATCCAGCACATGGTAGTGTGATTCTTCTCGAGAATCTTCGATTCTATGTCGAGGAGGAGGGGAAGGGTGTGAATGAAAAAGGTGAAAAGGTGACTGATTATGCTTATTAATCATCTCGCTTTGTTCTTTTCATTTTTATATGCACACCTCCAGATATGTCACACGTTTACTTTTCCTCTTACTTTACCAAGTAAAGTTAGCTCGTAATGTTGTAGTAATGAGCACTCATCATTTAGATAAAAGCAAAATCTGAAGATGTCGATAAATTTCGTGCATCGTTAACGAAACATGGTGATGTTTTCGTCAATGATGCATTCGGAACGGCACATCGCGCTCATAGGTATTATTATTATTTGTCTTATTATTATTGCTTTTATTATTGTCATTATTTTATTAATATTATGAACATTTATAATAATAATTATTATTATTATCATTGTCATTATTACAGCTCAATGGTTGGTGTAAAGCTGAATGAACGTGCGACAGGATTCTTGATGAAGAAGGAATTGGATTATTTCGCGAAAGCATTAGAATCTCCAGTTCGTCCATTCTTGGCCATATTGGGTGGCGCGAAAGTGGCTGACAAAATACAACTTATTCGTAATTTACTTGACAAGGTTATTCTCATTTCTATTACGCTTCATTATCATCACGATTATGATTAAGTGATAACATGAAAGATTGATGATTAATGTGCTCAGGTTGATGAGATGATAATAGGAGGTGGTATGGCGTACACATTCCTGAAAGTGATCCATTCAATCTCGATTGGTAAATCACTCTTTGATGAGGAGGTTCGTAATTTTATACATTCATTTTATATGGAAGATTGATTCTCTTCTTATGATTATGTTGTATTACTGAGTGATGATGATTACAGAACGGAGATCGATCGGAGTTCACCAAAAAAATTCTTCTTTTCATAATTTGGGAAAAATTTTTGCAGCTGATGAATTTTTGGTTTTTCGGCAAATGCAAAATTTTTAGAATTGTGGAAACGGATTTGGGGATTCCGGGCGAAACAAATTTTCGTTCTGTCAAAATGATTCTTATGGATATAGGGCATTATATGATGTGCATAATAAAATGAATCGTAATGCACAACGTTTATATATTTATTGCTTGCAGGGTGCAAAGATTGTGAACGAATTAATGGAGAAAGCAAAATCGAAGAATGTCAAAATTCATTTACCGGTTGATTTTGTGGTTGGTGACAAATTTGCAGAGGTGAGTAAAATGATGAATGCCATTATCGAAGTAATAGTGGTGGACAATGGACAATGCCAAAAGCCATGCATTTTATCTTTGTCCTGCATGAGTTCCGGTTTAGGCTCGGACTTAGGTTTGAACAACTGCGAGCTATTTGAAAATACACAGTGCAAAAGCTTGTTCTCCAACTGCAATATGTTGCCGCCATAAGTGGTATCTTCATCATTTGATCAGCCTTTTCTATACTCTCTTTAATTATCCTTCAGTAACAGGTCTTACCCACGTAACAATTGAAGGATGCATCATTCAAAGTAAGTGATCTGAAGAGTGGAATCGAAGCCGATTGGATGGGGCTGGATATTGGTCCAGAGAGCACCAAACAATTCGTTGAGGTGATAGCACGATGTAAGACGATTGTTTGGAATGGTCCCGCTGGTGTGTTCGAATGGGAGCATTTTGCGACCGGCACAAAGGGTCTGATGGATGCTGTTGTAAATGCTACAGCGCAGGGAGCTGTCACTATCATTGGTATTGCTTTTTTTATTATTATTACTCAATACTTATTGTTAATGTTATTTTTGATTATTATTACTGATCACTAGGTGGAGGCGATACTGCCACTTGCTGCAAAAAATGGAAGACTGGTGACAAAGTGAGTCACGTTAGTACTGGAGGTGGTGCCAGCCTTGAGCTTCTCGAAGGTTCTTTTTTGTCATTATTGTTATTGTTATTGATATTGTCATAACCAAAATTATTATCAAATCATCATTTCGTAAAATAAGTATTTACTTGATCTGCACCATAAGTTTTTAAACATAATATACCGTCTACGCACCCCACGTAATTCCCATGTTCTTCGCCAAATAATTTCCGCCCTTACCGATTTGCAAGCTTCATAGTCATCTTCAGCCTTCAATTCCGTCCCTGTCCACATCCATTTTGCCCCTCCAAACTGAACATTCCCCAAGATATGCTATCAGGGTGCTACTATAGAATTGTCGGCCCATTACTGGCGCAGTACCGGCCATTACATCTAATTAGAATTAATTGTTGAATGAGAATGATTGGTATATTGCAGGCAAAGTACTACCTGGCGTTGATGCCCTCTCCGCGGCATAGATACAGCAACATTCAGATTTATTTATTGCTTCTGCACACGTTCATCATATTTATTCAGTTGTCATCCCGATGACCTATTCTCATCTATCCGAGTGATCTTAGTGAGTATTACTGATATGTTTTCTTTCTGGGTTGAAGTATTTTGATCATTGTGCTTATTTCATAAAGATTGTTGTCTGTGGTGAAAAGTTTTTAATTAATTAAATCAGTTATATGAATTCATTATAATTTATTAAATTGTGTTCGTTCAATGAAACATTTTATTGGACAATTCATAGAGCTTGATAAATAGTTTCTTATTTTAATATGCTGTACCGACTATTAGTACCAAATCGGAGGGGGATTTAGACTGATAGTGGTGGCACTGAATCTCTAAAGGTGAATGATCCCCCTCCCCCTAGTTGACAATAATAGATACAAAAATCTCGAATAAAACAATTGAACAGCAAACAGTCAAACAAAGAATATATAAATAAAGCGATAAAGAAGAAACTAACGGCTTCGGCTTCAGACGACCGTATTTGAAACTTGTGGCTTTGAATCGTCCACTGTTTTCCACTGCCTCCCGTTCCAGCGATACCAATGTTCTTCATGACGACTGTCCACTGTTTTCCAGTGTTCTCCACGAATACCATGGACACTGATTCCACTGGTCTTCTTCTGTCTACTGGTTTCAATTTAACCTTTGCTCCACGTATTTCCAAAGATTTCCACTGACTTTCCAACGCCTTCACGATAACAACAAGTCAATTTCCAATATTAACGTTTACTTCTAACCACTAATAATCTACAGTAATTTCTCCAATACTCCAAATCCCACATCGTAGTGCTTCTAAATTCTTTCCAAACTTCATATATATATCCAGTGCTGTTTTTATCAGAGTTCGATTATCCGGATCAGGTGAGAGTGGTGAACAACTGAATCACGCAGTTATC